ATGCTACCAATCGTTATCCAGCAGGGCGTTCGCACAACACAAATTGAAGTACTCCATAGTCAATAAACACCACTTTGTGTGGCACCTGGTACGCCAGGTGCCACTTAACCCTCGGTACACTTGGTGCTACCAACCAGAAGATTACCAACGCTTCGTCTCCCGTGTCGGGGGTGCTTGCGCCATTGGTACATCTATCAATAGTGTATGCCGTAAGGTTTCTGAGAGGATGAGAATGGGCAGGCATATAAACGACTTTCGTCAAGGTTGGTCCCGCCACGGGCCCTAGGAGGAAGGAAGGAGTTTTTTTGGGGCGGGGCACAGACGAGACAGGTCCTTGGAGGAGGAGGTGGAAGGAGGAGGTGGGGAATGGGGGGCGGAGGGGGAGGAGGGGGAGAAGGAGGAGGAGGAAGACGGGGGACAGAGGCAATAGGGAGGAGGATGGGGGCGGAGGACGGGGTGCTCGGGGGACGGCAGGGCGGAACAATAGGGCAGTGAATGGGCGATGGGGTGGGAGGAAGAGGACGGCAACGCGAGGACGAAGGTGCAGCCGCACTTCGATTGCTTGGGCGTTGCGGAGTCTGGAATGTCAGCACGCATCGCTGCTCCATGGTAGTCAGGAGCAGCCTATTTCGGCGAGCACTGCGTCAGCCCCTCCGAGGGGAAAGGAAGGGGGGGTTAGCGGGATGGTAGGAGGAGGAGGAGGAGTAGGAGGATGGAGAGAGGACGAAAAGAAAGTAAAAAGGCAAAATTGGCGAGGAGAGAGGAGGATGCGAGGGAGGCGGACGGATGGAGAAATAGCGGAGGAGAGGGGGAGGAGGAGGCGAGGAGGAGGGTCGGTTGCCCCTACCTCCTGCCTTCCCTCCTCCTCCTCCTCCTCGTCCTCCTCCTCCTCCCTCTCCCTCTCCTCCTCCTCCTCCATCCTGCTCTTGCTGCTGCTGTTGCTGCTGCTGCTCCTCCTCCCACCACCGCGTCCGCTCATCCTCCTTCTCCTCCTCCTCCTCCTCATTCTTTTCCGCCTCCTTCCACCCTCACGGGGCAGGGGGTGGACGCAATGCTAGCCGATCCCCGCTTCACGCTCGGCTGCGCGTGCTTCTGTGCTCGCCTCCTCCCTTTTCTTTTTTTTATTCTTCTATAATTTCCTAATGATTACCGCTGCCACTACTGATGCAAACCCCTTATCCACCTGACTCCCCCTCGCCTGTCCCCCCCGCCCCTTCCGCGCATCCACGCCCCCCCCCCTCTGAATGCACGGGTGCGTTTTTGTTTTAACACGACGGCCGTCATCATAAGTGCCATCGGCATCGTAGTTGAAATCGTAATGGTCGTCATCCCCACCATCAGCTCGACTCTCCCTTTTTATATATATGTATATATGTATACATACATCTCTCTCTCTCTCCCCTCTCTCCTTCGCACGGGCCGCGCAGGGAGCGGAGCGGCGCCCGCGCCTGCGCCAGAAATGGCGGCTGGGCCAGGAGCGAGGAGTAGGATGATTACGAATATTAGTAGGAGTAGGATGAGTAGGAGAACTAAGAGGAGTAACAGGAACATTAGGAGGAGTAGGAGGAACATGAAAAGTAGGAGGAGTAACAGGATGAGTAGGAGGAGTAATAGGATGAGTAGGAAAAGTAGGAGGAGTAGCACGAGGAGTAGGAGTAGGAGGAGTAGCAGGAGCTCGTTTTTCCCCTCCTCGTCCCCTTCCCTCGTTTCTCTCTCTCTCTCTCTCTCTCTCTCTCTCGCTCTTCATCATCTCCCGATCTTCCTCCGTCCTCTTCTTTATCCATCCCCCCTCCTGCATTCGATAGGGGGCCCGTTGAAAAGGGGGCTTCGACGGGCGAACGATCGCGACCTCTCTGCCCTGCCAGCCTCTACGGGTCCGTCGCCGTTGGAGGGCGGGCAGCCCGTGGATGGCAGGGCGAGGGCCTCGCGAACGTTCGCCCCGCCCCCTCTTCGAGGGGTCCCCTACTTGGCCCTACGTGAGTTCCAGCGTGCGTGTGAAGAGTATGTATAAGCGTTCGATCGTCAAGTATCCCCCCCTCTTCCTCCTCCTCCTCGACTTCATCATCAGAACCGCCACCATCATCATCACCATAATCTTCATCATCATCATCATCATCACCACCATCATCATCATCATCATAATCATCATCATCATCATCATCATCATCATCATCATCATCATCAGCATGATCATCATCATATTCACCTTCATCATCAAAACCAGCATCATCATAGCCATCATCAAAGTTATCATCATCATCATCATCATCATCACCATCACCATCATGATCATGATCATCATCACCATCATGACAATTCATGATCATGATCATCATCAACCACCACCTCACCATCGACCATCCCATCACCATCACCATCACCATCAACCATCATATCATCCATCATCATCATCATCACCATCATCATCCGTTTTGGCTCAAGGTAACGGTCGGTGCATGGCAACGACGTTTGTCAGGCAAACAACCGATTTTGTCAGGCAAACGACCGCTTTTGTCAGGCAAACGACCGATTTGTCAGGCAGAAAACGCTACCGTCGGTAGCGTTTTTTGCTCATCGGTCGCGACCGATCGCTACCGATCGCGACCGAAATTTTAGCCGAATCGGTCGCGACCGGTCGTTCCCGATCGCTACCGAAATTTTTCGGTAACGAATGACCTGGGCGGACTGACCCCGGACTGACCCCGGACTGACCCCGGACTGACCCCGGACTGACCCCGGACTGACCCCGGACTGACCCCGGACTGACCCCGGCCTGACCCCGGCCTGACCCCGGCCTGACCCCGGCCTGACCCCGGCCTGACCCCGGCCTGACCCCGGACTGACCCTGGACTGACCCTGGACTGACCCTGGACTGACTTCGGACTGACCCCGGACTGACCCCGGACTGGCCCCGGACTGACCCCGGACTGACCCCGGACGACTGACCCCGGACGACTGACCCCGAACGACTGACCCCGGACTGACCCCGGACTGGCCCCGGACTGGCCCCGGACTGGCCCCGGACTGGCCCCGGACTGGCCCCGGACTGAACCCCGGACTGGCCCCGGACTGACCCCGGACTGACACCCCGGACTGACCCCGGACTGGCCCCAGACTGACCCCGGACTGACCCCGGACTGACCCCGGACTGACCCCGGACTGACCCCGGACTGGCCGGACTGACCCCGGACTGATCCAGGACCTGACCCCGGACTGACCCCGGACTGACCCCGGACTGGCCGGACTGACCCCGGACTGATCCAGGACTGACCCCGGACTGACCCCGGACTGCGCCCCGGACTGGCCCCGGACTGGCCCCGGACTGGCCCCGGACTGACCCCGGACTGACCCCGGACTGACCCCGGACTGACCCCGGCCTGACCCCGGCCTGACCCCGGCCTGACCCCGGCTGACCCCGTGGACTGACCCCGGACTGACCCCGGACTGACCCAGGACTGACTTCGGACTGACCCCGGACTGGCCCCGGACTGGCCCCGGACGACTGACCCCGGACGACTGACCCCGAACGACTGACCCCGAACTGACCCTGGACTGGCCGCGGACTGGCCCTGGACTGGCCCCGGACTGGCCCCGGACTGGCCTCGGACTGGCCCCGGACTGGCCCCGGACTGAACCCCGGACTGACCCCGGACTGAACCCCGGACTGACACCCCGGACTGACCCGGGACTGACCCCGGACTGACCCCGGACTGACCCCGGACTGACCCCGGACTGACCCCGGACTGACCCCGGACTGACCCCGGACTGACCCCGGACTGACACCGCACTGACCCCAGACTGCCTGGACTGACCCCCGACTGGCCCCGGACTGACCCCGGACTGGTCCCGGACTGACCCCGGACTGACCTCGGACTGACCCCGGACTGACCCCGGACTGACCCCGGACTGACCCCGGACTGACCCCGGACTGACCCCGGACTGACCCCGGACTGACCCCGCACTGACCCCGCACTGACCTATACCCCTGACCCCGGACCGACTTCGGACTGACCCTGGACTTACACCAGACTGACCCTGGACTGACCCCAGACATACAGAACGTTGTGCTTAGCATTCAGGTCCCAACTCGGTAAAACTAGACTCGGTGAAAATAGATCTCGGCTAAACTAGGTCGTAATCTGATATCTAGTTTAAACGAGTGGAGAGTAGTCAAAAAATACCGTAAAATAATCAAACATGGTCAAAAAAATCGTCCCAAGACTATTTCTTGACTATTTTTGAATGTTCCCCCTGTAGAGGGACAGGCCCGACTTAAGGCCAGACCCCGTCCCCATCGACTGCACATCTGGCAGCGGGGACTCCTTGCCAACTGAGCAGCCCTTGGGCGCCAGGCAGCCGCCGGGCCCGTCCTCGCCGAGCTGACGCTGCAGCCCCAGTAGCAGAGAGGCAGTCCAAGCTCCATTCCCCCGCCCCGGCCCCGCCCCCCGATTGCCCGGTGGGCAGCAGGGACCACCTTGTCAAATGGCCAATCCGCCGCCCCAGCCAGGCCCCCCAATCGCCGGTTTGACATTGGGGCCACCATGTCACACGGGCTATCGTGGCTCAGCGTCGCCCCTCCAGGCTGGGCCACCCCACGACTCGCGACCCACTTGGACCACACTGTCAAATTGGCGATCGGCGCTCAATGCCATCCCCCCGCCTGGCCCAACCACTGCCTATCGGACAACGAACCCCACCTATCAAACAGGCCATTGGAGCTCGATTCACCTCCCCCAGTCCTCCGCCCCCCGGTGGTCTGCCGGACTCCGCGGCCCACTGTCGCGGAGCCCATGTCATGGCTGGGCCCCAATGTAAGACCGACCGCCGGAACTTTTGAAATCAACCCATGAGGGCATGAACCAGACGGGACCCCAAATATGATCATCTTGCTGCCGACGGCAAGCTGAAAACCGCGACGTGCTGTGCTACATCGAGTCTTGTTATACGATGAGACGCTGGGTTATGCCGCGCTGTGTCATGCTGCATTACGCAGCGCAAGCCAGGGCAACGTGTTGTGTTGCATTGCTTCAAGGTTATGGGCTTCAGTATGCAGCGTTATGACATACAGCTATGTGTTAGCATGTGTCGTGATATGCTGCGATCTGGTCCGAGGGGCGTTGACATTGAAATGTACTTAGGTATACATGATATGTCCTGCTATGTTAGAATATGCTATGCAATGCAGGGGTATAATAAGCTGAACTATGGTATGGTATGCGTTGCTGTGCCATGCCGTGCTATACTATGATCCGCCACGGTCCAAGCGGCACGCTGGAGCGTGTTAGAACGCTCCGACGATTGCCTCGCAAAGGGCTTATGTAAGGTTTCTCGGGCTGGCCCCCATCCCAATCGGCGCGCGCATGCTCTGAAAGTCGCCGCCCGCTGGATTTGTTTTTCGGCACGGTCTTCGGCATCCAGACGGCTCCAAGACAGCAGAAGGAAGCGCCGAGGAAGCTGACAAACGTTGAAGCCATTCCAGAGACAACATAATGAGCGCCCCAAGGCTACAAGATCCCCCTAGATGCCCTAAGAGGCTCCAAGAAGCCTCCAAGAAAGCTCCACGAGGGCGCCCCGGAGACCTTCACGAGGCACAACAAATCGATTGCCTCTGAAAGGTTTTGCCATACTCTCCTTTCTGGGCTTCTGAAAATCCGAGGCGGCCCTAGAGGCCCCCAAGAGGGCCTCAAGAGGACCGCAAGAGGGGAACTCGACCTGGCGATGTCGGTTTTCCCCTCCGAGACGGCTCCCAAGACTCCCAGCAGCCCCCAGGGAGAACCACGAGACCCCAAGAAGGCCCCAAAAGGGGCCCGCGACGAGGAAATCGAACTGGCCTTGGACGCCCCTCCCCAGAAGATAGCCCCAGTAGGCCCCTAGAAGCCCCCAAGACGCCCCGACGACGACCCACGACGCCCCAAGAGGCTTCCAGGAGGCCTTCAAAAAGCCCCCGAGAGACCCCCAAGATACCCTCGGAAGCCCCCCAAGAGACCCCCAAAGACGCCCAAGACGCCTCCGAGACGGCAGAACAGCACGGCAAACCAGCACGGCAGACGAGCAAAGAAAACCAGCCAACGCCCAGACTTCACGCGTTCCAGGCGTGCACCCCGCGAAGCGAGAGGAATCCGCGACCAGAACCGAAGCGAAGACGTGTTGCTGGAGGTAGGCTTCGTAAGGGGCCCGGACCCCGAATTCACAAATCTCCTTGGGCTCGTCGTGGCTTGCCGGGGGTTCCACGCATCTCCCCGCGTGGTGTGTCTGGGCCCAAGAGGGCCCCAAGACCGGCCAAGAGAGCCCCAAGAGACTCCCAATGGTCCAGGAGGGCTTCGAAACACCTACAGATCGTTCCAAGACGCCAAAGATGGCCCCAAGACAGCCCAAGAGGCCTCCAGGACGCCCCAAGAGGCCTTCACGGGGCCCCCAAGAGGGCCTCGAGAGGCCAAAATCATTGATCTTCCATTGGTTTTTGAAGGATTTGGGCGTTCTCGCCTTTTCGGCTTCCCTACGATGCAAAACGGCCCAGGAGGCTCCAAAGATCGCCCCGAAACGGCTCCAGAGGCTACCAGGAGGGCCCCAAGACGGCCCAAAAAGGCCCCAAAACAGCCAAAGAGACGCCCAAGACGGCCCAAAAGGCTTGAAAGACGGTTCCGACCCCCAAGTGGCCTCCAAGAGGCCCCAAAAAACTCCTGGGAGGTCCCGCAAAGCACATACTCTTACGCGCTCCGGATGTGCACCCCGCGAAGCGAAAGGAATCCGCGTCCGGAAGCGAAGCAGAGGCGCGCTGAGCAGCAGCGTTTTTTGGCGAACGCCCCAAGAGCACTGTATCAATAATTACTTCGCATTTTTGTGTACCAACCCCCAGCCGGCTCCACTCATCAAAACTGACAGAGACCAAAAGAAAACAAATGACTTTAGCAGCTGAGCCACTTGAGGGTCCAAGGGGGCTTCAAGACGGCCCCAGATGCCCCAGAAGCCTCACAGGGACCCAGGACGGCTCAAGATGACCCAAGACGGCCCAGACCCAAAGAGGCCGCACAGCACACATACGCCACGCGTTCCAGAAATGCATCCCGCGAAGCGAAATGAATCGTTTTCGGATTGCTTCTTCTTTTCAGGCTCGATCTGGGCGAGGCTGGCAAATGTGGCATGTACGTCGACAAGCAAATTTAAGTTCGAGCTGGTGTGAGGACTCTGCTGGCTGGCAACCAAGGACTGCTCCAAGAAACCTCCTGACCAGAAAGCTGGAACCTTCAAGCCGCCCTCCCAACCAGTGTTCTTGCCGCCATAATACGGGAAGTTCAGCGAAGCGTCATCATTGGCACCGCCATTGTCGCCCATGACCATGAGCACGGTGTCATCCCACATGCTAGCACTTCGCAGAGCATCAACGATCTTTCCTACAGCGCGGTCAACTGCATGGATCGCACCACATTGCACCTTCCTCTTGAAGTTTCCATCATTTGCACACGGCCCAGGAAATCCTTCGGCGCATTGCTTGAAAGGGTAGGCCGCAGCAGCCTTGGTGTTCCCAGCCTCAGCAGTCTCCTCAGTGAATTGTGGCGTTTTCCCAGCTTCTGGGTAATTCGCGCACCTTGTGCCATAGACATCGTCGTGATGAGCTTGAACAGGGGCATGGACGGATGTAAAGGCGACATACAGGTAGAGACCTCTGTCATCATTCATAGCAGCGTGCTTTTCGATGAACTCAACGGCCAAGTCCGACCACACATCCGTCGTATAGGTACCAGGCTTTTGGATGGACAGCGGTGTTTCGGGAGCCACCCACTCAGAAGTGCTGTCGTACTCGGCACCGAAAGCACTGCAGAACGCTTTTCTCTGGTGATCGCATCCATGTCCGTCTGCCTGACATGGAACGCCATCGTGAATATCCCAGAGACCGTCAACAGTGTGGTTGCGAGCGGGAAGTCCGTAGCTTGACAAGAAGTAGCCCTTGAAGCCTTCCTCCCTGACGACATCGACGTTGGAAAATGCAAAATTGTACTGATTGCAACCGCCCCCCCAATGCTGCGTGGGCTTCCCAAGCAACGTAAATTCGCCGAAGCCCTTACTGAACGGAAGCTCACTCTTCGTTGCCGCACCCAAGTCCCATTTCCCAACCATAGCAGATCGGTATTGACCGCTTTTGGCCAGCTCTTCCGCAAGGAATACTTCGCCTGAATTGACGACATAGGGGTGGTCCAAATTGGGCTTGAAGTCAGCCATTCCCCATCGCCAGGGCATCCGCCCAGTCATAAGGGCACCCCTGCTCGGGGTGCACACAGGTGTGGCGTAGAAATGCTCAACGATGACGCCGCTCTGAGCGAGGCTGTCCATCCTCGGTGTGGCGAGGTACTTGTCACGAAAGCCTATATCATTGTACCCCCAGTCATCCACCAGAACATGAATCAGGTGCGGCCGCTTGCTCCGTTGAGTTGTTGATGTCGAGCGGCGCATCGCCGCGACTCGCACCGCGATCACACATGATGCGATAGCGAGCCAGCAGCGTGCCATCGCCAGGAAAAGTGTCCCGAAAAGCGTTTACCAAACAACTCGAGAAGCTCCCTGATGAACCAGCGGGCGCGCCTGGAAGAGTGGCTCTGCGCACGACGGGTGCACGCTGGAGCTTCGGCCTCCGAAATTATCCGGTCGTGGTGGACCGCTGCGAGGCGTGCAAGCGGAGGGAAAGAGCCCGCGCGAGCAGCCAAGCAGGGCTCCGGGAGGCGAGGGAAGCAGCCTCGACGGGGCATACCCTGGAAACGGCCTCACCCAAGCCCAGCGGAGAAACATCCCGGAGTCCCTCCCCCCTTTTCCTCTTCATTCTCCTCTTCATTCTCCTCTCCCTTCTCCCCCTCATCCTCCTCCTGCTCCTCCTCCTCTTCTTCCTCCACCTCCTCCTTCTCTTCCTCCTCCTCCTCGTCCACCTCCTCCTCGTCCACCTCCTCCTCCTCCACCTCCTCCTCCACCTCCTCCTCCTCCTCCTCCTCCTCCTCGTCGTCCACCTCCTCCTCCTCCTCCTCCTCCACCTCCTCCTCCTCCTCCTCCTCCTCCTCCTCCTCCTCCTCCTCCTCCTCCTCCTCCCCCTCCTCCTCCCTCTACCTCCCAGACGGCAGAAAGCCAAGGACACAGCGCGGGAGCCGGCCGTGACGTCCGCACGGCGCCCGAGGCGTGCGCCCTGCCAGCCCCTCACCGGCTCCCCGCGGGCGCGCGGCCGCCCCGGGGCACGGGAGCGGTCCAGCCCACCGCTGGATCGGAGCAGTGGGACTGGCGCTAAAACGACGCGAAGATCGGGACGAACTCGGATCGGGATAACTCGAGATCTCTGAGGATCGGCGGGTTTGGAGGATGTGTTGGGCGCCGCGGCCGCTCCAGAGCGTTCCGGAACGCTCTGAGAGCGCTCCGGAACGCTCTGGAGCGATGTATCCCGATCCTAGCCCTGTTTTATGGCGCAGATGGGTCCCTTGGGGGAGGCGCAGCAGTCCCAGACCCCCTCGCGTTGTGAGGAGATCGCGGCGGGAGGTTCTTCCCTCTCTTCGGCCTCCTGGGGGCCCTCCCAGGCCTCGGGACCGCCAAATAATGACTCGGGGTGGAGAACCGGTCCTGGAGAAGGGGTCGAGACCTCTGGGGGTCGACGTTGTGAAAAAAACACGGAGTGGGGGGTCTGGCACAGATGGGTCCCTGGGGGGAGGTGCAACAATACATTCGGACCTGGGCCAGAAGAATATCCCTCAAGAACGTGAGACCCTCCGATGACCAAAACAAGCAAGACATCAGGGGGTACCCTCCGCAGGATGTTTGAAAACGTCCAACAAGCACGAAGAACACGACGGTACCCTCCCCAAACCGACCTCGATCTTATACCTCGGTCCGACTATAGTTGCCATAAAGGAAACCTGGATGGCGTCGATGCAACAGTGCTCGTGCGCTAGATGCCGTAATGATTCGTGGGGGCTGCAGCAGCAGTTGCAATAGATGGCGGCTGCATGCAAATAGTTTGCGTGCTGGGGTCCTGCAATTGCGCATGAACGCGGCTGTATAGTTAGTTTAGCACAGGCTGTCAACAAGTGATGTCCGTGCAAAAAAACTGCGTGCCCCCCCACCCACCCACAACTGTTCGAACTATTGCTCACAGCAGTACACTCTTAAGGAACGATTGCCCCTGCCACCGCCGACCCATCTGCGCCAGGCAGACCACTCCAGCTGTGACAACCCCAGCCCAGAAAGGGAAGACGAGAGGACAGAGAGGAAGGGCGAGCGACCTGCCACGAAGCAGGAACCGCAGATGGCTGGACTCACACGTGGAACGCCCGGATATCACGCGCTGGACTCACGTACGAAAGCCCAGCCTACACGGCCACAGCACAGCTGAGCGCTAGAAGCGCTGGAAGGACATCCGGCCACATGTGCATCCAGCCGTCGCCCACGCCAGACGGGCGCGCCGCGTGTATCTCCGGTTTCCTTCGGGGATCCCAAGCCGTGTGGTGGCACACCGCGCGGTCACTTGGAAATCCCGCCAGACCTCACCGCGCGGTCCGTCACCGCACGGTATTGGAACTCTGGACGCCCCAGTCGCCCGAGACGTCCTAGGAGTTGGTGGAGACTGGGGGATCTGAATTGGATGGGCCCCGAGGAAATCTGTCAAGAGGGCGGAAGGAACCAAATCCGTTCAAAAATAATCCCCCGACCCCTCCGGGGGTCCATCTGGTGTAGTTTTTCACCCTGGATATTTTTGTCGACGGTCCTGGGGCCCGAAAACGGCCCTCAGAGGCCGAGACAAGCAAAAAACCTTCCCGAAGCAAGCACCTCAGACCTCCTCCCCCCGTCCTGCTCACTGGAACCAGTGCTGGGCCACCTCTGATCTCCAGCCGCCTCCAACCTCGGAGAACGGCCCGAATACCAGAACCGCGCGGTGACCCCGAACCGGCACGGACTCACCGCGCGGCATGGTCACCGCACCGCTGGGGGCGACTTCGATTCCTGGGCAAGAGGACCGTCCACAGAGGACCCGCTCGCCCGAAGGCCTCGGTCAGCGGCTCGAGGAGACTGAGCGCACCGCGAAGCTACACGAAAGAGAGACCCCATAGGCAAGTCCGGAAGCGCATTGGATCGATCAAGACACATTTGTTTTATCACATCCACGGCCCCGTGCGGGCCAAAGATAACTGCCGGGGACTCTGGCCCCCAGTGCAATAAGCTCTAAAGGCCGGCCCGCGGGCCGAGACGGCGTCGGGCAGCGGGCGAGGCGGCAGAGGCAGGGATACTCAGGAGAGGAAGTCGATGAGGGAATGGGCGTAGAAGGTCAGGGCTAGGCGGGCCCCGTAGGACTCCTCGGATTCACCTCCAAAGAACCTCAGACTCACTACTTCTCCTTCGCAGCCTCTGACCCGTCTGCTTCTTCCAAGTCGCTCTCTCGAACTCCAGCGGCCACGAGCTCCCGTCGCACACAATGAGCTTCTTCTCGATCGGGCTTGGCGTCAGCCTTCCTCGCAGCTCGCTGGGAAAGCTTCTTCTCCTTGATTTTCACCGGGGCTTGGCCCTGCTGGATCGCGATCAGGCAGGTCCTCACGCAGCGCCAGTAATACTCCAAATGCGCTCCGCCCGCCCTCGGGATACCTGCCAGATTCTGCAATCTATCCACCCGGCGCAGCGCGGTGTTCGGCCGTCTCAGCAAGGCCCCTTCAATCGCCATCCGCATGTCTTGACTCAGGCCTGCGCCATCCTTCGTGATGTAGTCGCGCAATGATTTCGCATTCGTCAAAAAGACCCTGCTCCTCCTCGCTGCGATCTCCTGCCAACGCCTAAGGTATATCTTCACACCTCCTCAAGTAGAACACATGACCACTCACCTGCTTCCAAAGAGTCTGCCAAATGCGAGGCCTCCGCTGCCATGGTACTCCTGCGAACTCTCTGCGTCGACTTCGAGCTGCAGTCCATCTTGGCTGGTTTCACAAGCTTGACGGTGAGCACGTCGCGGTCACCAAATAACCGGCAAATGTCATCTTATGCTCTTGTACTTTGCGATCTCGTCGCTCTCAGGGTCACCGTTGGCGCGTCAAAAATCACATATTATCAAAACAGGGTCACGTTCCGGGTCGATACCCTTCGGGAACTTCAGCACGTTGTCAGCAACTCCTTTGACGTCACCGATGGCCTTGCTAGCCTTCGCTAGGTCGGCGACACACGGAAGAACCATAGCCCTCTGGGCTTGTCCTGCTTGAAAAGGCAAGGTCCGCTCGCAACTGCCTTGACAATCAAGATATCTCTCCCGTAGCCTTCCGTAGCCGTGAAACTTAGTCGTCGGTGAGCGGGCTGGCCAGGGCCCCCCCCCTGGCCCTTGCGATTCGGAACCGTCTCCATGTTCACATAGCAGCCCGCCATCATCACACCCACGTCGCCGCCAGGCAACCACTGCATCTCACGCCCGCGGAACGCGGAGTCCTCCTTGAGCCGCGTTTGGAACTTCAGCTTCTGTTTTGTCTTCTTAAAGGTCATGCCCCCACATCTCTTTTGAACTCCAGCCAGCAGATCATCCACATGCGCGACTAGAACACTCACCAAAGCTCGAGCCCTGTCGCTTAAGTAAAACAGAGCTGGCTCAAATAAAGACTGCACCCATCCGCCCCTCTCTAATGCAGCGCGGAAAGCTAACCAGGACAAGCGGGCGGCCCTGGCAACTCCATGCCTCGCCTTCTTGGCCCTCAGCAACTGTCTCGGATGGAGCCCCTTCGAACCTCCTCATGGCTGGCTAATGTAGATCTCGCGTCCTATCCCTCGGCCAGAAAAGTGGGCATTCTCGGTGCCTCCGCAACTCTGGATCATGCTGTTACTGGCAACCACCACCAACACCACAGCCCCTGCCAACTTTGGAGCCGCTGGCGCATCTCGTCGGTACTCTCCACGACTCTTGCCCTTGTAACCACGGGCCACCATCCTCGACTTCGCCTCGAACTGTCCGTCGAGAACTCCTTCACCTTCGTTGGCTCGCACCCACTTTACCAGCATGATCAGGTCGCGCTCGGCCCCCATACCTGCTCGGTCTCTCCGAGGCCCAGCGTCGCACAGGCGCCCAGACCATGCCATGCCTTCTACTCCTTGTCGTCAGATCCGCCAGGTCCAACGAACAACTTTCGCGCCGCCTCGTCGAGTTCTCTTAGGCGTAGAGCTCCTTCTTCGCTTCTTCGCCGCCGCGAGTCCAGCCTCGCAGGAGTACCCGAACTCATTCCACTCGACTCCGAAGACGACAGCCTCCTTGCTCACGCCGCGCTTGGCGTAGAAAGAATCGTTGGCGCCGTCGGTCATGAAGACCGCGTTCATCATCGAATCCTCGACCCCGCAAACCCCGATGGCCTCCTCTCCGCGCATGATCGACGAGGGGGCGTCAGCCAGCAACTTATGTCTCTTCGCCTACCGTTCAGCTGCTCCCCCTGATGGTCGACTCTCTCCCCGCCACTCGACGTCGCCCTCGCCCGGGAGAGGCGGTTCATCAGCGACCCGACTGCGGTAATCGCGCAGGCCGGGGCCCCACTCTTCGCTGATGGGAACCGCCCGCTCATCGCGTCCTGGCCTTTCTCGGGGAGTCTTTTGGAAAAACGTCTTCACTGCATCGTCCGTCTGATCCGCGTCTGGCGCAACTCCCTCGAATCTGACTCTCGGCTCTCGCGGCGGCGGGGGCTCCTGCTGCGTCCAAGGTGGCCCTTGGCAAGGGTCCTCCATCACAGTCTCCTCCGCTGGCCCCTCCTGCACAGCTGGTTCA